TAGTGCTAACAATAATCATAACAAAAAACTTCTAAAGCATAAAAAATTTAGCCTTTCTGTTTTTTACGGAAAAAAGTAACAAATCAAGCCGTGATATTTAAGTAGGCTAAGAATCTAAATTTTAAATTAGGTTACTTAACTTTTACTCAATTAACAAAAAATATCATCATGAGCTTGTTCACGATGATATTTGTCCTTATGAGCTCGTTCAATCTGTAATACAAACTATTAATGTGAATATTCATTTTTTGTAGAAACTGATGCTCTGCAATTGTCAGGGCAATGTAAAAGTGTTCCAGATACATTTCCTTGAGTTCAGTGAGCATCATTGTAGAATAATGGGTGATTTATAATTCTATTTGGAATTTATTAGACAAATCTAAACTTAATTCATCATTCATATTACTTATTTGTGGTTTTATGTGTAGGCAAATATGTTTAAGATTTAATGCAGCTGAACAAAAATCTTTTAACAAGCAACTCAAAATATTTTTTGTTAATAAATCAAATTAAAAAAAAGGAAAACTGTTAATCATTTCGAAAAAGAAGAGTTTGCTCAAAGTAAAACATATGATAACTTAAAAAGACTTAAATCTGCTCAATCTTTTTTGATAGAAAGTATTATATTTTTGATACAAAGTATTATATTTTTGATAGAAAGTATTATATTTTTGATAGAAAGTATTATATTTTTGATATAAAGTATTATATTTTTGATATAAAGTATTATATTTTTGATAGAAAGTATTATATTTTTGATAGAAAGTATTATATTTTTGATATAAAGTATTATATTTTTGATAGAAAGTATTATATTTTTGATAGAAAGTATTATATTTTTGATAGAAAGTATTATATTTTTGATATAAAGTATTATATTTTTGATATAAAGTATTATATTTTTGATAGAAAGTATTATATTTTTGATATAAAGTATTATATTTTTGATAGAAAGTATTATATTTTTGATATAAAGTATTATATTTTTGATAGAAAGTATTATATTTTTGATAGAAAGTATTATATTTTTGATAGAAAGTATTATATTTTTGATAGAAAGTATTATATTTTTGATAGAAAGTATTATATTTTTGATAGAAAGTATTATATTTTTGATAGAAAGTATTATATTTTTGATAGAAAGTATTATATTTTTGATACAAAGTATTGTATTTTTGATACAAAGTATTATATTTTTGATACAAAGTATTGTATTTTTGATACAAAGTATTATATTTTTGATACAAAGTATTATATTTTTGATACAAAGTATTGTATTTTTGATACAAAGTATTATATTTTTGATATAAAGTATTATATTTTTGATAGAAAGTATTATATTTTTGATAGAAAGTATTATATTTTTGATAGAAAGTATTATATTTTTGATATAAAGTATTATATTTTTGATAGAAAGTATTATATTTTTGATAGAAAGTATTGTATTTTTGATACAAAGTATTATATTTTTGATATAAAGTATTATATTTTTGATAGAAAGTATTATATTTTTGATAGAAAGTATTATATTTTTGATAGAAAGTATTATATTTTTGATATAAAGTATTATATTTTTGATAGAAAGTATTATATTTTTGATAGAAAGTATTATATTTTTGATAGAAAGTATTATATTTTTGATACAAAGTATTATATTTTTGATAGAAAGTATTATATTTTTGATAGAAAGTATTATATTTTTGATACAAAGTATTGTATTTTTGATACAAAGTATTATATTTTTGATACAAAGTATTGTATTTTTGATACAAAGTATTATATTTTTGATACAAAGTATTATATTTTTGATACAAAGTATTGTATTTTTGATACAAAGTATTATATTTTTGATATAAAGTATTATATTTTTGATAGAAAGTATTATATTTTTGATAGAAAGTATTATATTTTTGATAGAAAGTATTATATTTTTGATATAAAGTATTATATTTTTGATAGAAAGTATTATATTTTTGATAGAAAGTATTATATTTTTGATACAAAGTATTATATTTTTGATAGAAAGTATTATATTTTTGATATAAAGTATTATATTTTTGATAGAAAGTATTATATTTTTGATAGAAAGTATTATATTTTTGATACAAAGTATTGTATTTTTGATACAAAGTATTATATTTTTGATACAAAGTATTGTATTTTTGATACAAAGTATTATATTTTTGATACAAAGTATTATATTTTTGATACAAAGTATTGTATTTTTGATACAAAGTATTATATTTTTGATATAAAGTATTATATTTTTGATAGAAAGTATTATATTTTTGATAGAAAGTATTATATTTTTGATAGAAAGTATTATATTTTTGATAGAAAGTATTATATTTTTGATAGAAAGTATTATATTTTTGATACAAAGTATTGTATTTTTGATACAAAGTATTATATTTTTGATACAAAGTATTGTATTTTTGATACAAAGTATTGTATTTTTGATAGAAAGTATTATATTTTTGATAGAAAGTATTATATTTTTGATAAAAAGTATTATATTTTTGATACAAAGTATTATATTTTTGATAGAAAGTATTATATTTTTGATAGAAAGTATTATATTTTTGATATAAAGTATTATATTTTTGATAGAAAGTATTATATTTTTGATAGAAAGTATTATATTTTTGATAGAAAGTATTATATTTTTGATACAAAGTATTATATTTTTGATACAAAGTATTGTATTTTTGATACAAAGTATTATATTTTTGATACAAAGTATTGTATTTTTGATACAAAGTATTATATTTTTGATACAAAGTATTATATTTTTGATAGAAAGTATTATATTTTTGATATAAAGTATTATATTTTTGATAGAAAGTATTATATTTTTGATAGAAAGTATTATATTTTTGATAGAAAGTATTATATTTTTGATACAAAGTATTGTATTTTTGATACAAAGTATTATATTTTTGATACAAAGTATTGTATTTTTGATACAAAGTATTATATTTTTGATACAAAGTATTATATTTTTGATACAAAGTATTGTATTTTTGATACAAAGTATTATATTTTTGATATAAAGTATTATATTTTTGATAGAAAGTATTATATTTTTGATAGAAAGTATTATATTTTTGATAGAAAGTATTATATTTTTGATAGAAAGTATTATATTTTTGATATAAAGTATTATATTTTTGATAGAAAGTATTATATTTTTGATACAAAGTATTATATTTTTGATAGAAAGTATTATATTTTTGATAGAAAGTATTATATTTTTGATATAAAGTATTATATTTTTGATAGAAAGTATTATATTTTTGATAGAAAGTATTATATTTTTGATAGAAAGTATTATATTTTTGATACAAAGTATTATATTTTTGATAGAAAGTATTATATTTTTGATAGAAAGTATTATATTTTTGATACAAAGTATTGTATTTTTGATACAAAGTATTATATTTTTGATACAAAGTATTGTATTTTTGATACAAAGTATTATATTTTTGATACAAAGTATTATATTTTTGATACAAAGTATTGTATTTTTGATACAAAGTATTATATTTTTGATACAAAGTATTGTATTTTTGATACAAAGTATTATATTTTTGATACAAAGTATTATATTTTTGATAGAAAGTATTATATTTTTGATAGAAAGTATTATATTTTTGATACAAAGTATTGCATTTTTGATACAAAGTATTATATTTTTGATACAAAGTATTATATTTTTGATAGAAAGTATTATATTTTTGATAGAAAGTATTATATTTTTGATACAAAGTATTATAATTTGATAGAAAATACTATATAATTGATAAAAAGGTAAAAAATGAGATCCTAAAATCTAAAATCCTGTCCTGGAAAAAAAGCAAAATAAAGGAGAATTTCCAAAAATTGAAAAAGAGAAAAATAAGTCTTTATTTCTGTATAAGTCAATTGCCAATTGGCTATCAGTAAAAAAAAAAGAATACTAATATAGAAAACATGAAAAGACTCCAAAATACACTATTAAACAACAATTAAACCAAAAAATAAGCAGGAAATTTCATAACCAGCTCAATAACACGAACCAGTTTCCATATTACACAAACAATAAAAATGCATGTCACGAATGTGTTCGCTATGTAGGAAAAGATAAATTTACAAAAAAGATGTTAATGTAGATAACATAGTAAAGAATCTAAACTTAAATCTAATATGCCTCAAGCAAAACCAATTGAAAACTTTCGAAGACATTTGTCACTGAAAGTTTTTAAGAGAGATTAGGAAAATTCAAAGAAGATGTTTTGATTCGTTAAATACTGTCTATAAGAAATAGTAAAAATTTTTTACAATTGCTTATGAAAGGTCTCTAAGCAGGTCAATTGCAGAATCAATTGCAGATGTTGGTGTTTTTTAATATAAAAAATAACTGATTTTCACTAACTTTTGAACTATAGAATTAAAAGGGCTATTACTTTCTTTAACTTTTGAATAAATTATGTTAACTGTTTCTGATAAGTTGCTGTGTTTCCTTTTGCCATTTCTGTGCAATATGACAACTCAGAAAGTGATTAACTGTTTAGCTGATCTATTTGTAGTCCACACAAACACCATTTCAGCATTCAATAAAAATCAGGTTCTTCAAATTCTTTATAGCTAATAAACCCAGGACAGGTATTTATGTAGAAAAATGTGCTCCAAAGGTTATAGAAGCTAATTCTCAATAGGTTCCCTAATGGTCAAGAAACTACAGTTTCTACTAAAAATCTTGCTTCTATTGGATTAGGGGGTGAAATTTAACCACTCATATCAATAGCATTGAAACAATGCATATTATAGAGAAAAAAGTTAGATATGGTGGAGGTTTTGGAAAAATTGCAGGTTTAGTGTTTCATTGTTTTTATATGTAAATTAATAAACATTTTGCTCAAGACAAAAAATTAATTTAAATTGCAGTTCATGTAGATGAACTCTACCAGGCTTGTTTAATTAATAGTAAAAATGTAAAATGAAATGTTAAACACACTCACCAAGTTGAACATTGGTTTGATCATAACTCATTATAGAAAACTTTTCAGTTCAGCAGATTTTTGAAGCAACGCCATAAAACTAAAGTAAATATGTTGTTTTTTTTAATAAGCAATAATTGATATTTAATAAATAAAGATAAATCTAAAAAGTTACAAAAAAATACATTGCAAATAAAAATATTTTATATATCTATTTGTATAACTTAATATCTTTATGTCTTGTTGTTATTCTGACAATACCACATACAACAATTTCATTTATATTTTAGCTTTTAAAACTTAAAACTTTTCCTAAGTTAGAAAAGAAAACAACATTTTTATAATTATAGTTTAAATAAAATAATAACTGCATGAAAACAAAAAAAAAGGAAATTGCATTTCTCATTACTCATATGATAACAAAAGGGAAATAATTGTTAAAACTTATGAGAAAAAATTGCCTTAACAATGAAGAAATTTTTAGTCATTTTATGATGTATATAGTTTTATGACATTTAATTTTTTGCTTCAGTAGGAGGAGCCCACCTCCTCTCTTTATTTAAGAGTCGTGGTAAAATAAGTTTAATACTAGTTAATAGTGTTAATTTTATTTGATAACTATCATAGCAGTAATATTAGGCTTCGTCAGAAATTGTGCGAGAGTTTCCTGACCACAAATGTATTATTTTCTGTCAACAATTTGATCATGGAAAACATTTTAAAAAAGCAAAATAAAAACATGCAAACATAAAAACCTTGACAGAAAAAAGGCAATTACAAACAAAAAAACTTTAATATATAAATGAAATAAAAATCAGAAAAAAAAATTCAATACAAACTATTGATGTGAAAAAAAGGTAAAAAAAACTAAAAACTGAACTAGTTAACAATTTTGTTAACGATTAAATCAATTCAAACCTTTAATAATGTATTAATAAATTTAAAAAACACTCCTTAAAAAATAAAATAACAACCCACTTTTAATGATAGTTGAAAAAGAAAGTAAATGTTATTTAATTTATCAAAGAAATATTTATAATTTATTGTATTTATGTTTTATTTCAACAAGATTCTAATAAAACAAAATCTAGTTGAATAAACGAAAAAGTAAAAATATATTTTAAACAACTTTTTATGTTAAAGTAAGCAAAAGTAACAAACAATCATTTAGTTGCAATGAAAATAATAAAATCTTCTTTTCTTTAAGCAATGTTTTTAAAACGTTAAAAACATTTTATCAATATCTGGCAGAACACTGAATCAGAGATCTGTAATGATCATTATCTAAACCTAAAGCTAAGAATACATTAAAAAATTTATAACTCACTTTTTTATGTCTATTGGTTTATTATAATAAAGTATATATTATAAATTAATATAAAAGCGGTATATTACATTTTATGAGAATTAATTGTTATTTTTTATTTTGTAAAAAAACAACTTATAGCTGGATCAGGTTAATTAAAAGCAAACTTTTATGGTTAAACTAAAGAAGTAAAAATAGTTTATAAAAAGGAGGCGGCTACATAATACAATTGATAATGTTTAGAGAGTGTTTTTTTTTAATATTGGTTCTGTCCCTGCTAACCTCTGCTGCCATTCATTCATAAAAATTGTTTTTATGATTGGAAGCAGAGGTTAAGAACTGCACTTGTCATAAAAGTTACAAACTTTTAAATTAAAAAAAAGATACATATATTTAAAAATACATATATTGCTTGGAGGGAAAATTTGAGCTTGAAAAGGATCTTACTTCTACAGCATGGAGCTCTTAGTGGCTGGTGAACTCAGATAAAACTCAATTTTCACTTCTCATCTCTGCTAATTTTTATTTTAATAATCTAGATCATCCTATATTTATGAACAGTAATGTACTTAATGAGTCATTTACCCTTCATCTTCTATTAATAACTATTACTTGATAATTTCTGGAAACCTTATATCAAAATGAGCATCTCAAATCTCAAATCCATCCAAGTATGGAAAACTGTTGCCATATCTAGGATGGGTCTTCCAATGATGCTCTTTCTCTTTTAGACAAGTTGTAAAAACACATTGTAAACATAGTTGGATCTGCTCCTGTAGCCAACCTCCAACCATTGTTACATTGTCATAATGTTGCTTCTCTTTCTCTTTTCTATAAATACTATAATGGGCACTACTCTAAAGATCTAGTGTCTCCTATGCTATCTTTGTCATTCAATTAAGTCTTTTTACTGAAACTGTTCCAAAAATTCTTAATTAAATAGTTTCATTCCTCAATTTTTTAAAGCCTAGAATTCTGAATCTGGAGTACTGCGGATGTTTATAGAAACCTGTGAAAATTTCTAGAATTTTCTAGAAATTTTAGTCTGGCAATTTATAGAAATTAGCAAGATTAAAACTAAATAAGCTTTCCGGTTGATTAATGCTAATAATTAAATATAAATCTGTATTTGCCATATAGCAGTCAAATAATACAGAAGCACAAAATTAATAAAATCTTCAAAGTTATTAACCATAAAAGCAATAACCATTTGTTGACAGTTATCTCAAGATGGGATCAACATTCAGACACCTTCACAGTCTGTCATATACAGATCAACAACAAAAGAAAAATTTTAAATTACAAAAGAAATTTAAAAAAAAACTACAGTTAGAAAGCTGTCACTGCACTTTGATGGTAAAGGTATTATTTAAGAAGACTATAAAATTTAAGTGTTGAAGGTTTAACAAAGAGAAGATAAGTTACAAGAACTAGATCTACCTGACGGTAAGGCAGATATTGTTTTTAAAAGTATAACCTTTATTCTTGATAAATACAACTATTTTTGAATATTCTATTATCATTATCATAAGTGATATAATTATTGAATAGACTTCTATTTATAAACAGTATGTAATTTTTAATTTTTTAATCTGTCTTTAAAGTTACTAAAGTTTAATTTTTTAATGTTTTACTTAATGAAACAAATACTGTTTTGTAGATGATGCATTGATTCTTGACAGGCTGTTAATTTTATAGAAGCTAAAGACGACCTTGTTTTAAATATAAGTAAGCTATTTTTTATTTTTTATTGGTTTTAAATAATTTTAAGTTAGATTTACAGTTAGTCTACCATAAAATTATTATTTTTAAATTACTATACACTAAGAGAGGAGTTAAAGTAAGAAGGGGAAAATACTTAACTACATTTAAAACATTTTTGTTGAAAAAGGTATTCATTCTGTTTTTACACTAAACACCATCAAAATTTCAGTCAGCAGAATATGCAAAATATTAAAATAATTTGCTGTTGTGACGGTGTTTATGATTGTCTATGTAAGAATATTAAGTTTATAGTCAGTTAGATTTTGTGAACACTTTAAATTGCATTTAATAATTTTTAAAATAACCAACAATAATCGCTGAATTAAGGGGTGTATCTAATAACTACTTACAATAAAGGAATTGTTCAACTTACATTGGACATACTCCTTTATTGTAAGTACTTATTAGATTCACCCCCTAATTCAGTGATATTTTTGACCCCTTTTTTTTTTTTTTTTTTTTTTCTTAAAACACATATTTAGGTCCAAAGATGTTAGAAAACAATATAAAACTACACTTTACAATTTAAAAATAAATTTGAACTTTAGGAAAATTTTTTATGTATTTATACATAAATATATATTTATATATAAATATATGCATGACACCAAGCTGATCAGTTGCCAAGCTGATCGATTTTTTTATAAATAATCTCTAAGACTCTAACAATCTGTTGGTGTAAAAATCTAAACACAATTGGCTTGGCGTGGATATAGGCCAAAATTCTATGTAAGTTGGACATTCCTTTGTGAAAGAACTTTTTCACTGGATATGTTTTTTATTAATGTCTTCTTATCTGTTCATAAAAACAAATTTTTTTAATGAAAAGGATCTTATTTTAAAAAAATTATATACATTTTACTATAATCTCTTTTTATTTATTTTATTGTTTGTTTTTATAATTTTACCTTTATTATCTCATGATGGTAGAGTTATTTGTCATGTATAACTGGAAATATTTTAAATTTAGTTGTTAATTTAATTCTTTAGTGGAACTTTGGTCCTATACCAACTTTCATTAGCTTACTTTGTCTTCGGTTAAAATATGGTTTTAACTTAATAAACTTTACCTGTTTAAAATTTACTATGTTGATCATTTGTTATAGTTGAAAAAGAAATTAGTTTTTCACAATGAAGGTAAGGATAATTTTATTTTATCTTTTATATTTTTTGTTATTATGTGTAATATCAAATTGTCTTTGCAATAAATGTCTTTTCTTACAGATTTTGACTAGTTTTAACAATTCTCTAGAAAAAACATCAGCAAAAGTAAATTGGATTGTAGTGTTAATATGATTTTCCTTTTTTTATCATGTTATAATTTTTTTTTTTTTTTTTTTTTTTCATTTTAGATATATCTTACAATGCTTTTTCAGCATATTGCAAAAAAAATTAGAGAGCCCACTTCTTATAATGCTCATAAAATATGGGCTTAAATTTAAGACAAAAGCTCTCTCTCAGTTCCCTCTCCCCTATTTTTTTTTAAATAGAGTTATAAATTATTAAATAGTGTTTAAAGATGATATTATAGCATGCCAAAAATGGTTGAAGTTCTTCAAATCCTTTCGTTTACACACTTAATTTTTAATTTTTTTATTTTCTAGAAGTAAAACATTTTTAAAGGCCTATAAATATTATATGCTAACATATACAGATATATATACTATAGCAAAGGAAAGGGAGAGAGTTTTTTAAAAAGCTTTTGAAAATTTCTAAAAATATGAAAACATGGTTAGTAATTTGTGTGGATGTCTTGATAGAGATTCCCAAGTTATCAATGTGCTTAGTAATTAGTTAAGACTACGCATTAAAGACACAACTTTCTTTCTTATAGAAAAAATTGTGTCCCTTATTTTTGTTTGATCTCTTTGCAACTTATCTTGAGTAACTCCAAATGGTTTTAATACTTTCAAAATAAATTAGTTTGGTTTAAATTGATATTTTTTTTGATTGGCTTAAACTATTTGGTTTAAACCTACAAATCCTGCAACACACATTTCTATATCATAACTTTAATTTGAAAGTTTATATAATTAGAATTCTTTAGCTAAATCTAATGACTTAAGTTTTTATAGCAAAGATAATTAAATAATGATGCATAAAAGTTATATCCAATATAAAAAAAAACAATACCTTATAATTTATTAAACTTTGGAGGAGGCCTGGATCTAGCCTGCTAAACAAATATATAGGTAACACCAGTTACAACAGTAATTGACACCAGTTAATTATAACAGTAATTAACACCAGTTAATTACTATGTAACTGGTAATTAACACCAGTTAATTACAACAGTATTTAACACCAGTTAATTACTGTTGCAACTGGTAAGTAACACCAGTTACAACAGTAATTAACAGTAATTAACACCAGTTACAACAGTAACTAAAAAAAAAACAGCATCAAACAAGTTTTTTTCTGATCAAACTTTTAAAGAAATTGCAGTTTTTGCTGATAATGTTTACTAGATAATCAATTCCAGTAAGTATTAACTTTAGCATTAACTTGTGAAAAAAAATTGAACTTCACTAATAAATTTCTATGACTTCTGTATGTAATTGATTAAGCCTATTTTGTAATTTTTTGCTTAAGTTTTAAACTTTTTTTTAGCACGCTAATTTATGGCAACTACATACTTTACAAATTTGTATATAAAATCAAATCATCAAGGTTACAACTATTGTCCAATGCCATTAATCTTTCTAGTATTTTAATGTATGTTAATGACTCAGATAAGGTAAAAGGTGTTAAACTTATTTATAAAATTTGGTGTGACAAGCCTAATAAAACAACTATATCCAAAAAGTATAATTTGTCCTACTGCATACTTAAATCACATTTGACTTATTACATGCATCCTACTGCATACTTAAATCACATTTGACTTATTACATACTAGATATGTGACCTTTACATTTGCCATTAGGATTTTACAAACTTTTAATGTCTTTTTTTTATCTCAGTAATAACTTGTGTAACTCCAACATCAGTATCTTATTTAAAGTTATTCTTTTAATTTTCTTATCTAAAATGATTAAGGTTGCCATTTTCAGCATTGGTTCAGAATTGGTAGTTGTTTTTCTAATTTACCACTTTTAAATTTATCTTGCATTAAAACATTATTGTTCAATGACTTAATGATATGCATATATTTAATATGTATCATTTTAAGTTAAAAAAGAGTTTGCAGGTATGAGAACCTGCAAACTCTTTTTTAATAATCTCATGTTATATCATTCTTACAATTGTATCATGATTGAAGTTTAATAAAGACCTTTGAGCTATTCTACTTGTGATACTGATAAAGTTAAACAAAAAACCACACACTGTTTTCAATTTAACAGAAGTAGTTTTAATTAACACATAATACTTGTATTTAAATAATAGGACTTTAGTTAGATAAACATTTGTTTGTGTGGAACAGTGCTGAATGTTAAATGCATGTTACGAGAAGATTAGAAAAAAGAGTTAATTTGAGTTAAACCATGTTGATACTTTTCAAGTTTTTAAATAAATAAAACCAGAAATCACAAAGGTAAGCTGCAATATGCCATAAGGTGATTAAATGACAGAAACTTTTGACTTAGTAATATAAAACATTTTGAATAAAACTTTTTTTTTATATTCTAACATATATTATTGGTGATTTTTGAATATTAAGATCAAATAAAACATTAACTTTTTTAACAATCTATTTAAAAGTCAAATTCAGCAATAAGCCTTAAACCTTAGACATGTAAGTATAAAGTTTAAGGCTTATATATATATGTGAATAATTAGGTAAAAGAAAGTAACAAAATCAGGGCATTATTATCAATTTAAACTTTTCAAAAACTGTATTTTATTTTACAGAAATTTATTTTTTATCACTAACTTATTTCTAAATGATTTATAATTAATAATTAAAACTACATACTTTTTAAGTATATAGTTTTTATACAAAGTAAAAAATAAAACTGTGGATGTCATATCATATTTGACATTGTATAAATAGTCAAATGCACTTTCTTACAAAAAGAAACATTAACAGATATCAAGTTATCAAACAGAAAGTTGACAATTGTAATAAGTCTTGCTGAAAATAAACATTTTTAATATACTTGTTCTTACTGCCTTCCTTTGTGAATATTTAATGATTTATTTATTTGTATTTTTCAACTAGGCTTGACACTATATAAAACTTTTGTTTTTAAGAAAAAAGTGTTTAATATAATACAATAAAATATCTGTCACTTGAAAAAAACAATCTTAAATTTTAGATTATTAGTTTATTTTAACAGGAAAAACTGAAAGTAAATGAAAAAGTGGCCTTAAAGCCCTTCTTTACTTTATGTATATTTATATTAAGGTTTATTTGTAATATTTCAATATTATTTAGGGTATATAGAGTTATAATTTCTGTTATAAAAATGGTTTGTTTTATTTTAATGTTATAATAATATATTCAACAAGTAAATAAATTTAAATATTTAAACTGTTTATATAAAACTTACAACTATCCAAAATTCACAATGTTTCTATATTAAAAGCAAGCACACTTGTTAACCCATCTTTCATTTGATGCCAAATGGAAAAGATAAAATCTTAAAGGAGAGGTCTATTACACAATCACAATTATTATTAGATGTTTAAACAATACCACACACCCATTTATTGTGAGCCTTCTCATGTTACTTCTCATGTTACACTTCTGCTGCGATTTATGTTGGAAAATCTCATTGTAAATTCCGGGTAAATTCAAGAAACTTATTAGGAAATTATCACTTTTTGGTTCTGGATATTGCAACCCAATTAAAATCATATGTACAGAATTTGCATTTTCTGGCGTTAATACGAAAGATGTGTTAATTTTTGAAGAAAGGAGGCTAGAAAGAAGTTTTTGAGTGTTATTAAATACCTCCATTTTTCAAAAAAGTTTTCTATTTGAAACGTCTCATATTATTGCGACTGCATACGAGTTTTGTATGTATAACTTTATTTATGCTACAATGTTAGTATATGTAACCGCGGGTTTACTCTGATGTAAGAAAAAAACAAATAAATGTAACGTAGTTTTAGGATTGAGGATTTTGAAAAAACTTAATTTTAGTTCAAATTAGATTTTTACTGTAGCGTTATAATTAATATAAAGTTTAGAGTAGAAAATAAATTTCTTTTTATTCAGACATTTTATTTAACTTTGTATTTTTAATAAAAGAAGTTTTTTTGTAGCCAAAGTCTTCTTGTCTGACTTCCCAAACTCCACACATTTATGTCACATGTAATATCGTTTACAATAAGGGTTACGTTTTGCCGTAAAATTTTACGGTAAAAACGGCAAATGCAAGATACTACCACTGATCTGAAAATAATAATTATTATTTTGAGATCAGTGGATACTACTTATATTTAGAGGTTTTAAGTTGAAGTTATTTTTACTTCAGATTTTTTTTAACCACTCTTTCAAGTAGGTTAACATGAAATGAAACTGTTGAAAACGAAATAAAAACTGCATTTTTTTTCATTTTTTTGCCATTTTTCTATATACTTAAAACCTTCAAAAAATGAGGGGGTCCTACACTTTATGGCTGTATCTTTTGAGCCTCAAAAAAAAATTTGACACCTAATTATAATTTATGATGGGATTCAAGAATTTTTTTTTTTTCTTTCAAAAATTATTTTCCCTCAACCAGGGGGAAGCAGGGGGCGTTTTTCAAAGGTATTCCTGTCCTTGCAATCTGAATGCCGTAATTTTTAGCAAAGAAATATTATTTCAATGAATATTAGCAAAATAATAGTTGCAATTATCTTCTTGTCAAAAATCTATTAGAAATGTAACAAATTTTCTACCTCTACACACAAAACATGAATAAATCTCCGATAACAAGTTCAAACAAATGAAATGCCACAAACAGTATTTTACTAATTATATATTACGAAAAAGATTTATTTTTTCAATTTAAATATATACTTAAAAAATCTTCTTATAATCTAGTTGAACCATATTCAACAACCATAGCTCTAAGTTTTTCACCGTTTTTTTAGACGCAACGAACCTTTTCAGTGTCTTGTTTAAGTTTTTATGCACATGTTTGTTCTGATGTAATACCGATGCGGGATTTTCTGCCTATCGAGATTCCTTGAGATCCCAGCCAACATTGACAGACGGGTACCGTATGGTTTTTGTCTGGGCTTACGGGAACGGGATTTTGACGGGTAAGTGTTTTGGTTTCCAGACGGGTCCCATATGGTAATAATATCAAGCATATTTGCTCGTTAGGGTTTTATCTGGTTTTTATCAGGGCCGAATAACCTGGGGATTTGACGGGTTTCCCATAAGGTTCCCAAAAGGTTTTAAAAAAATCATAACAAAACTTACTCAATGGTTGCCATTTTTAATTCGTATTGTGCGTGAAATAAGATTAAAAATTTAACTTTTATGCATTACATTTTTTGAATACATTATATTTACATTGTAATTACAAAGAATTTTTTCTTGATGTGTTTTGTCACTGTAAAACTCAGTTAAAAAGACGTTGTTTTAAAATTTCATTTATTTATTATCATTATAAAAGAATTTATATATATACTAGGTACGCGGAAATCCGTGTTTTACGGAACCGAATTTTGTACTAAAATTTTGTGCCAGGTTTTTTGAACTTTTTTTTAGGTAACGTCAGGCGAACGTTATTTTGTGGCGTTTCTGTTTAGAAACATTACTAAACTTAGATTATTTTTGAAAAAAAGAATAGTTAAACTTGATTAATATATAACATTTATGTGTGGTTGGTAATTTTTGTATTGCTTTTATTTGTATTAAAAACTTGGTTGTTGTTCTCACATTAAATTATTGTCAAAGAAATGCTCAGATAGTTTGCAAACCTACCCAGATAGTTTTTTACATAAATTTTTTATTTACCTACCAAATTTCATTGAAAAATATTATTGAGCAGATAGTCTATAAAAGTGAGCAGTTTTGTTACCTCATTTCTGTTTTTCTGATTTCCGTAAGTGGGTGGTAAGAGGGGTACAAACAAGTTGAATTTTATTTGGTTAGTTTAGTAATTATTTATGTTATATGTATAATATATATATATATATATATATATATATATATATATATATATATATATATATATATATATATATATATATATATATATATATATATATATATATATATATATATATATATATATATATATATATATATATATATATATATATATATATATATATATATATATATATATATATATATATATATATATATATATATATATATTAATACAATTAGATATAGACTGCCAATAAGATGTTTTTTTCTTTTTCTTATTTTTTCAGTAGTTTATTAGATTTTTTATATTAATTAATATTAGTTTGTATATTTTTACTAGTTTATTTTATTTTAAAAGTGAAAATTACTATTTATTTTAGTGTGACTTGTTTATAGTTTCTAAAATTTTATTGGTTTCATTGAAATTGAAAACATAAGCGTTGATTACTATAATTCTAGCTATAGGTATGATGGTATTTTAAAAACTCTTTATATTATCACATGTTTTATGATGTCAGTATACATTGGCATTTTTGTCTGTGTGTGTATAAATAGTATTTTTTAATTACGCAATAATACAGTATTATTAAAAATGTTTTTAATAATAAAAGTATAATATTGTTTATAATTTAATGTTATATCATTATTCGGTAGTTATTCAAGACTTTCTTTACATTTTTTTTTGTAAATAAAGTTGCTTTTTGTGCCCCGGCAATAGGCACAATAAGCAACTTTAATTTTTGTTCTTAGTACAGTTAAAGAGTATTTAAATACACACTTCTTTTTATCTGCCAAAACTTGCAGTTGTTGTAAAAATAGGTATGTATCTTTTTTATTCATTAACAGTGTCAAGTCATTTGTTATAACTATTATTTAGTTTAAACATTTGTAAACCTCATTTCTTTAGGGTTTTGAAAAGATGCAAAAGTTGGTTTTGCAACTTTACAAGGGATAGTTGTCGTTTTAAGGAATTTTGTAATGAACCCTGTATATGCATTGCACAAATTTTGCCCATCTTTCTATCATCATGTCCCTCCAAGTAGTTCTCTTACTACTGTTTTAAGTAATTTAGATAATTCACCACTTGAGCACATAAGTAATTAAAAAGCATGGCAAAATTAAAAAGCATGGCATACAAGTTGAAAGTACTGAGACAAAAATTACATAAAAGAAACAAATTGTTAAAGTTTTAAGAGCTGAACTTAGAGATCTTAAACAAAATTTGCTGACATATTATTACAGTAAGATAATATGCAATCTTAAAGCTTAAAAAAAAAGCAATGAAAATTTCAGAACTTTAAAAGCTAAAATAAGTTAAAGTTGTACATAATATTAAGGCAAATAAAATGCTTATAGCTAGTTACGAATATTTGCTTGCATATATGTAAAGCAGTTGATCATCAACTTTTATTTAGATGTTCATTTAGCATCTTTTAATGATAGTGATCAATCAATCATCTCAAATATATCAAATGTAATGTCAGCTAAAGTTGCAATTAACCATCTTACCATAAGCAAACTGTGTGACATTTAAGGGGAAAGTTTGAATGAGCTAAACTGCCATTTACACGCTCTTGATATAATTGCTACCTCATGGCTGGGTATGATTGTATGGCATTTAAAATAGTTTTGGCTATGAATAAGTTGAGGTTTAAACATGGCAAAGGTGATTCAAAAAGATTTGTTAGTTTTTAGATGATCAAAAACTACCACAACGTATCATTCCAAGGTATCGAGGAAATCGTCTTCATATTTATTTTCATACTTGTTTTATTTTTATAAAACATTTAATGAGTTTGAGCATTTTTTAACCATTGGAACAGTAATATGCAGAACTATACAAAAAGTTCTTAGAGCAGTATTTTGTAACAAAACAGCTCTAAAGCAAAAATGTGTGCTTGCATTATTTGGGAAACCACCTCCTCAAAGTCACATAAAACTTTGTCATCCAGTTTCCAGCCTGGATGACAAAATTTTGTGTGACTGTTGAGGAGGCAAATTTTGACCATTATAGTGGAATCCTGGTATTAAAAAATATTTTACTAAAAATTGCAGATTCTAAATCAAATCCAGGTTCACTTTTTAAAATGATCTTGAACCAAATATTTTAGATCCAATAAAAAATGTTTTGTTTGATTGATGAACACTTTATTAATATGACTTTTGCTTGTCTTATTGCAGTAGGAGACGTCATAACTCATCAATGTAAGAGATATTTCTCACTTTCTATTAACCAGACTCTCAAGGAGGAAGTAGCATGTGCAAGGCAGCACGATATAAATAGTGAAGAGTTAATGGGAATGTTTAGTGAGGCTGAAGAAAGATCACCTAATGCAACAGTTTGTTATGTTTCATACAAATTAAATTACCTAGAAAGTTTAGATCAATTATCTAGAGAAAATATAGTTATGTGGTCGATTCAGAAACCCATAAAAATGTAGTTATGTGGTCAATTCAGAAACCCATAAAAATATAGTTATGTGGTCTATTCAGAAACCCATAAAAATATAGTTATGTGATCTATTCAGAAACCCATAAAAGAGATGATAAATCAAATGAAGCATAATGATATATGAGCAGATATTTCAAAAAAATATGTATGCAAATGCCAAAAAATGGATGAAAAAGAAAAAAGAAAGTTAAAATAACAGTTGCTTGAACTCTTTTACAATGAAATAAAGTGTTTAAACACATTGTCTATCAAACAACGTCATGACTAAGATGATGTAATGTCAGATAGAATTGTTGGGCAAAAACTTTGCCATGAATGGTACAATAGTAAGTATTCGAAGTATGTCATGTATGATGGTAGAGAAGAAAAACTTGATAAAACAAAACAAGACAAAGTTTGCACAATTTTTTACTGGAATAAAGGTAATACTGATACTGAAGCTGTTGACTACAACATGAAAAAATATCAG